GCAGTTATCTAACACCACAGTTATCTAACACCGTCAAAACAATCTGGTTAGAGAATATATCTAAGTTTAGCAGTTATCTAACACCGTCAAAACAATCTGGTTAGAGAATATATCTAAGTTTAGCAGTTATCTAACAGAATATATCTAAGTTTAGCCGTCAAAACAATCTGGTTAGAGAGTATATCTAAGTTTAGCAGTTATCTAACACCGTCAAAACAATCTGGTTAGAGAATATATCTAAGTTTAGCAGTTATCTAACACCAAACACCGTCAAAACAATCTGGTTAGAGAATATCACTAAGTTTAGCAGTTATCTAACACCATCAAAACAATCTGGTTAGAGAGTATACTAAGTTTAGCAGTTATCTAACACCGTCAAAACAATCTGGTTAGAGAGTATCATTAAGTTTAGCAGTTATCTAACAAGATAACTGCTAAACTTAGTGATATTCTCAAAACAATCTGGTTAGACAATCTGGTTAGAGAATATCACTAAGTTTAGCAGTTATCTAACACCGAAAGTCGTTTATGTCAACACGACTTACGTGAGCAATATAACACTACCTTTTTAATCTATTGGAGAATACAGGGCCGATAAAAAATGGCGAAAATTTCATGTCTTGAGATTTTCAATTCCCATACACGCTCAAAACACTTCATGAAGATATTTGTCTTTTCAAAAGAAAATTATTTGATCAACTTGCGTGTTGCAAGTGAGCATTTTATGTTTTATTTTTATTAGTTTTAATTTTTATTGGAATAGAGCATGACACTCGAACATCTGGGTTAGAAACTAAAGAATTTGATAAACTAATTCAAGCATTGGTTATTATTTACTAGACTAGGAAAGCTCCAGCTTTCAGGCTAAACTAATGAAACAAGAATATCGTGACGAGTTACTTATTTCATGCAGGAAATGAGATTTAAGACATCTTTCAGATCATTACCAACTAATGATTGGATACTGGGACACTGTACTTCCTTACAGTTTATTTACTTTCCGAATCTTGTTTAAAAGTTAGTGGAACGTTCATTCTCTGAGCTTCCGTGTTGTTAAAAAAAACAATTTGTGAGAATCATGGGATCTTCAGGAATTAAGACACGTGCCATCAGGCTTGGGATAAGATTGTTCATGAGACTTGTAACTAATTTAATGATGATACAGCGAGACAGTTGCTCCCTAGTGGCATAGCGGTAAGTCTGCGGACTTTTAACGCTAGAAACAGACTGTTGATAATGTTGTGGGCACACCACAGATAGCCCATTATGTAGCTTGTGCCTAACAACAAACAAAATAGTCTGATTTAGCGGATTTAAATTGGGAGAGTAGATCTTATTCTAAAAACAACAGTAAGTGATAGTGTAAGTGGCATTTAGGGTCTTTAAGAAGTTACTCCATTGAAACTGGGGGTTAGAGTCCTGCTGGAAAAAAAAACGTAGCGACCTAACATTCTAAAATTATTTGATGACGAGGAACCCACTTTTAGAGAATAAAGCTTGGAGACGGCTTTAACAGACAATGAAAGAAACTTCATTACTAGTAACAAATATACAATGTTTTGACAATCTTTTATTATTTGTCGTAGTTTACTCCATTACTCATTCAAGCCGTCTCCAAACTATATCCCCCCCCCCCAAAGAAGTGTTCGATTCTGAACTTCAAAGTATACAAGGTCAGATGTACACCTCCCATGACTAAGAGGTCAGAAGGAAATGAAAAATGCTAATTGTACAGCTAAACCTGACAAGTGTGTGAATCTGGGAAACATTGAGGTTGGGAAGTAGGCCATTAAACGCCAAACTTACCAAAGAGGCGATGAAGAAGATTAGTATGCCTTTTACTAAGAACGATTATAAGTCGCTTTCAGGATTAATTGGCTGTTACTGGAAGCCACGCCTGTTTAGCTTCTCTACTCGTGAGTATCGCCAAAGAAAGGTAGATACAGATCACAGTTTACCAGTCTCGTAAAGTAACGTTTCACTGGGGGTCATCTGAAGCCAGCAAGACGAAGATGACACTTAGAGGGCAGTGGCCTGTTTACAAACTACCCTGTGAGGAAGTATTGTTTACTTGAGAACGTGAGTGTTTATCACAAAACTCCTGTGGGACGTTAACTTACCATCGAAACCGACCACAACTCTTTAATCCTCGTGTTATCAGGTTGTGTTTACGTCACTCACTGCATATTACATCATATTCGGCATAGTATGTTTCTGTTTTACAACTCCAAGTGTAAAGAACTAAGAAAAAAGTGGGTTGGTGAAAGAACCAGTTTTCTCTGTAAAATACGTAAGGTACCCAAACAGTAATTAATGGGATTAATTGAAGTCTTTGTTTGTGTATATATGTATGTTGTTAGAGACCCTGTAACCAACTGTTCATAAATAGTTTAGTAGTTTTAAAGTAGGGCCAGTTATACCTCAACTCTTTAGCCCACTTAAGTGTCGTCCAAGCTGAAAATACCAAATTGCCAGGAAAACCCAGAATAACGCCCAACAGTTAAGGATTAACTCTGTTCTGTCTTTAAACTGTGGTGTGTTAAACCTTCACAGAAGTTTACCGATTCAAGGTAAAATACTTTAGTCAAATCGAAGAACTATACAAATCTTGCAGTAACAACAGGTTGTAAATACCTTTAGTTACTATTTTCTCGGACATTTTTGTCTCCAGCACGTGTTTTAATACAATAAGAAATTTTAAACGAATTATAGTTTTTAATAAAAAAGTATATATTTAAAGTAATACTTATGAATAATTTATTTCGAAATTTAGAAAGAAAGTTCAATGAAATGCCACCTACAGGCTCTCAAGAACACTAAGTTCAACAAGCAGCAAAAACGAAACGAGGTGTAGCTAGCGCCCTCGTACGAAGGTTATTATCATCAGTCAAGAGTTCAAAACAACAGCAACATCTGTTTGTAACATTAAATTAATACTCGATTTGATTTTGTAATATGCAGAAAATAAAGTAAAAATGAGTCATCAAATATATAATATGTTTGTTATAAAAATTATTCTCGTGCTTACTAAATGTTTACGTATTTACCATAAATACCCACGGGGTTTTACAGAACTACATTTATAAAATATACAACAAAATCACCCTCCTTCGTGAAATAAAAATTCTCTGTATCACAGATTTTCAAAGAGGTTGAAATTATGTAAATAAATTTCCCAAACGGAGTCATAAAAAATTAATCAGTCTGTCGTGAATTCGCTATCCGCACTTCAGCTACTAAAGTAGGGATGAACATGAAAATGTACTATTTTTTTTGTGTGTGTTTACTAATTTTTAAATTTTGTAATAATAATTTATTTCTTCATTTCACGTCCGGGTAAAATCTACCTTCATGCCCGATAGGCTTAGCGAACTTTGTTGTTAGTACGATTATTAACTAAAGTGGTGATTTTAAGAGCGCTCGAAATGCTCTTGACAGATTAAAGATTTAATGTTTGCAAACCACCTTAGTAAAGTTGATAGGTCTTCATAAAGTACAACACGTCAATAATATTAGCATAATCACAAATCGGCAGTTATAAACACAGTATTATAACACGTAATCTTACTATACAGATGATCTATTGTGTGTGTGTGTGTGTGTGTTAGCACCTATCACTCAGACTTGTGTAATTCGATTAACGTAATGTTTTGTATGATAACTGGAAACTGGCCAACAGTCCAATAGTCCATGGGTTATATTGTTTTAGGATTTTTGTCCAAGAAGGGGGATAAAAAGAAACCCTAAAATAGGGCATATTTCCACTTTGTTATAGACTTTTGGCTTGTATCACCCAGAGTTGGCTGGATTAGCGTAATTTTTGTACGGTAACTGGAAACTGTCCCACAGTGTACATGGGCTATATTATTTTAGGATTTTTGTCCAAGAAGGGGGATAAAAAGAAACCCTAAAATAGGGCATATTTCCACTTTGTTATAGACTTTTGGCTTGTATCACCCAGAGTAGGCTGGATTAGCGTAATTTTTGTACGGTAACTGGAAACTGTCCCACAGTGTACATGGGCTATATTTTTTAGGATTTTCACCTGAAAAGAAGGATAAAACACCCTGTAATAGGGCACATCTCCAGTTTATAATAGGGTTTCGTCTTTTAATTTAAAGACAAAAGAACTTAATCAGCTAGATGAGTCAATTATTACCTTCCATAAAGTAGGGTATGCAATTAGCATCTAATGATGTCATTAGATTTAATAACAAAAGAAAGAAGAAAAGGAAACATTATCTAACATCGTCCTTTATACCGTTTTTACTTCCTTGACGGATACTCGTAACTTTAAATAACTCTATACACAAATACATGAATGTGGTGACGTCATCGTGATCAAATGTTAAACTTGTGTGGTGTTCGTAATTCCCGTTATTTATCCAAGAAAGATACATTAATGTGGGTATTTGAAAAACTGGTGACTTTTTATTGGAACAACAGTTAAAGTTTTGCAAACTAGGTTATATATCTTACCAAGTCACGTAGTTGATATAATGACTAATATATAAATAACAAACTGTCAAAAATTCTAAGGCCTATATATCAAAGTAGCCAAAAAGTTAGGCATAGGAATGTGTAGGAATCCTTTTTAAATAAAATCAAAACAAGCACAAAATAATAATGAATATAACTGCACTATCAGTGATTAGGATATTAGAAAATAAATGTCTACGTAATATAGTACCTCATAAATCTTTCGTTGTGTGTTAATTGTTTTGTAAATCGGTAGATACGACATTTTAGTTGAAGTTGGATTACGGTTTTTAGAGGTAAGTAATCTATGCTGTTGTTAGGAAAGATGAATAATTAAAAATAGCAAGTTTGTACCTAAATTAAGCCTAACGGTTTACTTACCCAAGTGCACATATTACGTATTGCAGAAAGTGATAACTTCTTACCGATTTAAAAAACAAACAGTTTGTTAACTGGACGAAACTGGTGGAATACTGACAAGTATTTTCTAAAAAAAAAAACGATATAAATTTTATTTGTAGAAAAAATCCTTGGGATCGGAACTATACGAGCAAGTTTGGTACCACCTGGATCTTATAGAAAAGGACTATTTTGGTCTACAATTTACTGATGCCAACCACGTGTCGGTAGGTGGCGTTGATCTAACTTATGTAGAACCTGATTCAAATAATTGTAATTCAACTGAAAAGTAACCCAAAATTCATTATTTATATACATTTTTGAATGTAAAAGTAAATTTGGAACGGAAGTATTATTTGTGAATTATTAAAATTATAATAAAAAGTTAAGTGAGATGATTATAAAAATAGCCGAACTTAGAATGTATATTTGTACAAGTTGTTAAAAAAGTTAATTCTGTATATGATTTATTAATATACTTGTAGTATAAAATATACAATGTGTGGCAAATGGCCAATAAGCAACGTGGTAAAATTACTAGTTTAAAGCATTAGATTCTCGGTTGATAACATATACTGGATGTATTTTATAATTACAGAATTCGTTCTGGTGAATTCTAAATAAACTGTTACCGATATTTTTATTATTGTAATCATGTCCAGAGGTGTCGCTAGGTGCTTAAAAGATTCAGAGCTTGGGCCCAGTAGGCGGTGCGGGAATTTTCGACGTTTCAGTATGATACCAATTGTGGTTTTCTATTCTGATTTTTCAGGATACTAACTGGGAATTTGGGGCATGGACCCCGTGTGCTAGCGCCTAGCGATGCTTCTGACCATGACTTTACTCGTGTACACTCGCGCGATAATTATCTTTACATATAACGTGTTTTTGTTTGTTTTTTCAGCATTGGTTGGATCCTACAAAAATGATCAGAAAACAGGTTAAAAGTAAGTGGTTGCTATATATAAATTATTTAGCCTTATAATTTCATGTAATTCTTTACATGCTAGGTAACCATCTAAGTAGGAATTTTTTTATGAATTTAGACATTTTTGGTTCTTCTAGTGAAATTACACTGATTACTAAACCAGCCTAGAATATCTCGGAATGCATAATATTATATTACTTGTGTATTTTTTCTTGCTTTTAACTATCGATGTAACTATCAAGTTATTTCAATTCACGTTCGATTTCATAATTAATGTATGAATATCTTGCCTGATAGATTTTGTGCTTAGAATTAGAAAATCATAATGTGTTTGCAGTGGTGTCTGTAATTCGTAGCTCTCAAGGAACCTAATAGTATTGTCTTTGTCATGTACGACAAGCTAGTTATCTTAGTGGAGACTGTGTCAAAAATTTGTTTTTAAAAATAACTGCGAGAAAAAGAAATTTCATAAATATTCTACGATAACCTACAATTTGAAATATCTGAATGTTCAAACAAATCTGTCGAAAACATTACCAAGAGGAAAGAAAAACATCTCAAATATTTGGCTTTAATCTACAGTCTTTAATGTAATATATGCTGGAAATGTATGTTACTGAAGTTTTATGTATTGAGAAAATGATTAAGATAAGGATTGAAGCACTACATTTCAGTAGGAGTTTAATTTACTAAAAGTTAATCAATTCATGTGGTAGAAATAAATAATTTCCCGATTTCGTGTTCATATAATGAGCTAAAATAGGTTTTGATGTATCTTAGTTTGTGTATTTTAATGGTTCATATATTATTTTCATCCAAATGTTTCTTTGTTCCACGTGATTTATAATTCTTAGACATTGACCACTGAGTAAAACTAGGATCAAGTAAATTAACAACATTCATTAATTAAACCTGTTTCAACCCTGTGGCAATTTTTATACTATTTAAAACTCAAAGAAAGATTGTCTTAAAATAGAGAAGAACAAACGATTTGGAAAATATTTTAAAACGCCGTCAAGGTTGTATGAGACGTGCTTCCAGAAATATTAAACTAATGTGCTATTGTTTCCAAGTGCATTATAAAGGTATCCCTACTTTTACTCGGCGATACATGGCGATCTTCCACTAGCTGGTATATAGAAATTAGGGCAAAAACATTTCTCAGATTCTCTAATATGTAAGCATTTGTATATTTCATGTTTTATGTTCATCTTGAAACTTGTATTTTATTTTGTGCGAATTATAGTGATGTTTTTTTAACATTTATTTTTAAGCAAGCCAAGCTGTAAATACACCTTTGTTTCAAAGGGCTGTGATACTGGCAGTTGTGTAATAGAGTTAGGCCTAGATACTCGAGCGTTTTTAATCAGATCATCCATAGTATTGCAGTATGTATTAATACACACGTAAACGTTTTAGAGGATAAGGCTTAGCGAAGGAAACCAAACATGTTTCTTGCAGCTGTACTTCACGCCTGGGTGATACATATCTTGGCTTCGTCTGCTTATCCTGTAGGTAGGTCGTGGTAGGTCATGCTCGCCGCAGCCAGTGAGGGCCACACAATGATGCTCTATTATTTTAAAACTGGCATACAAGTCGGAAACAAGAGATCGTTAGAAGAAAAAAATCATTGTCAGTAACAAACGAGTGATGTCAAAACGTGATCACATTGAAATCAAGTAACATTCTCAAAAAAATGTAAACTTCATTAAAAATACCAATACGTGACAGTTTTTACTATAGAAAAATCTTTATTGACAAGCTTTCGGGCCAGCCTTCTTACGACCATCACCTATTACAGTCACTAACTGAAATTCCTGAATAACTACCGATAACGAAAAATTTTAGGGAAAAACAAATTACACCAATACCTATATAAATTTAAACAATTTGTATGCCAGCTATTAACAAAATACGCATTTTAACGTTTAATTCAACATTTATATATATATGAAATTAAAGACGACAACTTCCGAATGTTTTAGTATATACATATAGTCACTTCCGGCGGAAGTTGGACTATTACTATGCTGCTTATTTCACCGGCTTAATAACTACTTCGGAGATGAAACAAAAGTATAAAGGGACGACGTGCTTCAGACAGACTCTATAAGTTCCCTTTTTAAATTCGCAAAATTTCATAAACTGTGAGATTCGCCACATTAACTTCAAATCGTACGTATAATTTCGTTATTTTACACAATTTTGTTTGTTATATTTATTTCTGTAAAGGTGCCCCCTGTATATGGTTGTTTTATTTAGTGATAATCATGCACTCGAGAATTTAGTACATACACAAGTGTTTGTTTTCGAGCATTTTTCCCCCATATAGTTTGTATAAGAATATATATATATATATATACACACACACACACACACACACACACACACACACACACACACACACACACACTATTATTATTATTATTTATTTTAATTTTAATTTACGTACGTACGTACCTACCGTACTACTTACTTACGTACTTCGTTAGTTACTTTACGTTTTACTTACCTAA